TCTGCTTAACTGATCACTTTAAGAAATTGGGACAGAAATTGCATGGGGGCAGTTCTCGGACTAGAGTTCTGTCAGTGGCACTACCGAGTGGTTGTGATGTTGGAGCCCATGTTGCCGGCACTGTGCAAATCCAGCTCGTCGAAGGCCTTCCTCTTTTCCGGTGCGCCGCTACCTTACCAAGCATGAGGTCCTTCCACAAAGACGGCTAGAAGCAGCATGGTGTTCCAGGTTCTTTAGCTCCCAAGCTACCCACTCTACAGCGAGTCAGGCCCGTGGGGAGATTGGTCTTTGAGGCCATGGTGCCGTGGGCTGGGGCAGCACCTTCGGGGGATGTGCTCGTGGTGCAGTGACTGGTGGAGGCACTGAGTAAGTGTTCTCCGGCGCTCCTCTGGTGGTTCCTTTGCCTCCAAAGCCTCACCGTGCCAGACCCAGAGGTCCAGAGCCCCCACCGCTGACTGTTGGCACCACCCTGCCCAGGTGCAAGCAAGTCAACTCCTAACTGTACCCCCTTCACACACCAGGGGTTCAGAGGCACTGGCCTTTCCGCTTCAGAGTGGGCTTAGCAACTAGGATGAGCCAGGGGGGTCGGAGCTCCCCAGCAGAGCAGGATCCTGGGTCCTTTCTTCAGAGCCCGTTCGCCTATAGTTTTTCACCATTGGCTGCAGGCCCCGGACTTGTGGTGGCCCCATGCACCAGAGGACAGAGCACTGACCAGTCTTGCATCATCCCCATCATCATCTATGGACCACCGTGACCCCTCTGGCTGACCCCACCCTGAAGCCATAGGCCATCATACTGCCCCTCGGGAAGCCTCAGGGACACTGCCTGCACAGCCCCTGACTCCCCTGCTGGTTTCAGACCGCATCCTTGCATACCAGTCCCTGAGGGCCCGGTGCAAGGAACCCTCAGCTGGCATCAGGAGGGTTGGGCTGGTGGTGAATCCCGGAATATGGCTTGTGGAGCAAGGGGCCCCTTTACCTGACCAGCAGCACCACACTCTCCCACAGGTTGCTGCCTTCTCAACCCACATGGGTCCCCCCGACAGAGTCCAGGGCAGTGTGGAACGAGGCCTCCTTCCAGGGCTGCTGCCGCCATCTTGACAAGCTGGCCAGGAGGAGTGGGCAGAGCAGGCCAGCCTCCCGGCAGATGCAAAGAACATCCTGCTCTTCGAAGTCAGAGCCACCTGATGGCTTCAGCAGCAACCAGGCTGCTACTTGGTCTTAGCGCCAAGAGGTGCTCAAGTTCTGGGGAGCACCCTCCCCTCTCCTCCTCCGAGCCTCTCAGGAAGTGCAGAGCCTCACCCTGTGAGCTGCAAGGCTCGGAAACAAACATACGGTGCCTCTGAGTCTGGAAGCAAAAAAGGCCCCAGCTGCCCCGAGTTCTGGTTGTTCTACTTTCATGACAACATCAGGCTCATGACACAGCCTGTCATTAGCAGGGCCGACTGACAAAGTTTGGGGGGGATCATGTTCACTCTGAGGAGGCCCCCCCTCAGCACTGCCCTCTGCTTCCAGGCCATCTCCCATGCTGACAGCTTCTTGCTGCTCAGAAACACCACTTTCCACCTGAGGCCTATAAGAGAGTGCCTGTCCTCACCTTCAGGGTCCCCTTCAGTCTGCCGGTCACCCAGTGTGTGTCTGTAGGGGGCTGGGGTGTAGGACTGGCTGCTCTCCTGAGCACAAACCTTCTCAGGCAGGAAACAGACAAGACTTGTCCCCGCTGAAGATTCTGAAAGGTGGTGTGTGCCCACTGGCTGAGTTGAGAAGCAGAGGTGCTGCTTTGGTTCACACCTGGTGAGATCAGTCAGTGCTCAGGTGTAATATCCACCTCCTAGAGGCGGGATGGGCCTTCTTGAAGCCCCTCCCCCACCCCTTCTGTTTTATTCTTTACTCCCGACTTCTTCCAAACTACAGCCCCTTAGAGAAGTTTCAGCCGAAACATCACACTGCACACTGTGCAGTGGCAAAAAAGTAGTGTGTGTGTGTTGGGGGGGGAGGGTGTCCTGCTGGCCAGGTAGGCAAGGACCTCGGGTGCTGTGCTTCCTGGACCCCATCAAGGACTGAGGGCCAGCAGGGTCCCAGGGGAGCCAATTCTGTGGCGTCTCTATGGGCTCTGTGCCCTCCTTCCCCACCTCACCGAAAAGGCAGCTTCAGATCTGCAGTTGACAAGGATGGAAGTGACCAGTTTCCTGTGTTCTGAGTCCCTACTGCGGTGGTCACAGCAGTACTGCCCATGGGTAACTCGAAAGGACAGAAACTCACTTTCTCACAGTCTGGAGGCCAGAAGTTTGAGTCAGGGTCCCAGCCCCTGTTGTCAGTAGCCCTGGACGTTCCTTGTCCCTGCACATGGCCTCTGCCTTCCGGTGTGCCCTGCTCTTGATGTAAGAGGACTCAGAGTGATTAGGGTTAGGATCCACCCTAGACTGGTCTGATCTCAACTGATTGTGTTGTGGAAAGAGTCCATTATGTTAGCTCACACCCTCAGGGACAGGGATATTGGAGCACACATTTTGTGGGGACACAATTCAATGCATCGCCCCTCACTGGAACTCCTGTACCAGGGAGGGCCGTTGGTCAGCCTTCACCCTTCGTCTTTGCAAGCTGTCACTGGGCTGGAGGGCACGCTTATCCTTAGAAAGGGCGATCTCCCTGGATGGGAGCCGGACATTGTCTGGCCGCGCCAGCCTCCTCGGGTGTTTGGCTGTGGGGACCTCCGCCTAATCTTCTTTCTTTTTCATTCCAGAGCCAAACACCGTCAGCTACAGCCAGTCCAGCTTGATCCACCTGGTGGGCCCTTCGGACTGCACCCTGCACGGCTTCGTGCATGGAGGTAAGTGGGGCGGCAGTGGCTCCAGCTGTTCTCCTCCCGCTCACTGCCTTCTCGCTGGCTCCCTTGGGAAAACGCATGGGGCTGTCTGACCCAGTTTAGGCGCTTGTGTTTAATGAAGGACTAATTTAAACTTTTAAGAGGTTGCATAATAAATTACCGAAATACTGTCGGCGCCCGTTTTTAAAATTGGAAATGAAAGATGGATGAAAATATCCTAATGGCGAGTCACACGCAGCCAACAGTGTGGCTGCCTGTGGGCTGGAGCAGGGCCAAGAGGGGGATACCTGCACCCTCAAAGAGCCGGGTCATGTTAGTATGGGGGGAGAAGCATTAAAAAACTAGAGGAAAGTTGTGTGTTTCATTGGTGCTATACTGCACCCTGACTGACTCATCTTCTCCCCATGACCCTTCTGTAAGGGGATGTCCAGTTGCCTACAGATGGGCTTTGTGTTTCCACTCCTCACTCCCTCTCATTCACAATGATTTGATTTTTCTGTTCTTTGATGACTGATACCTGATCCCTTCAACACCTTGTGATTATACAGGCCGGTGTGCTTCATCCATGTGGGGTTTTGTTGTTTCTTAGCTAGATGGCCGCTTGCTTCAGGCCTTTAAGACCGCAGACGCTATATCTTTTGATAGCCGGGTACCATCACCTTTCTTCGTATTTGCTTATGTACCCACTTTGTCTTCAGCGAATGTGTCGGGAAGGTGAGCATTATGAAATGATGCTTAATAGAACAAAGTGTTCTTTCATTGAGGGAGTACTTGAGTAGAGGCCCAATGTGCATCTGCCAGCTTAATACTAAACCTATAAGTGTATGCAAATAGATCGTCATATATAAATATATTTACTATGTACATGCCTGTACTTAGACCTGTATAAATGCCTTTGCCTCCTAGTTCTTTCCTGTATTTCCTTTTACTTTCCTCTTATCCCACTATCATGTT